CAAACTCTAAACCTTGCGCAGCGCTCGTGTCCGAGCATGGTACTTCTGGGTGTGGCAACTATGGGGGGTCTATTATGCGAGCCTAACTATGGGGGTCTATTGCGGGGGCCTTAACCGTTTTGGGGGCACAGTATGGACAGCAGAGGCTTCTGGGTGCATACGGGTGTTTGGTTGAGGGTTCACGGTTTGCCCTTGGCTAGCCAAGGAAGGCAAGTTTCAAATATATGTATATGTGACATGTCTTCGCCACAAGTCAAGTAGTTTTCATTGACTGCCGCTCGCCCACCGAACTACTCCAAACCGCCGTAAACCCCAAACGCTGACAACAAATGTACCCAAAAGCTGTGAGGCTCGATTCAAAACCGGTGCTCAGTTTGCCTGCGTAGGCCCTGTCGTCGAGAGAATGCCGCTGACCTACATATGCCCTGTCCGCCAAGCACTCTGCTACCCTAGCGGCGTGTGCCCAATGTAGGGGCCTGAACAATTAGAATAGGGTTTTGGGGGTTCCTTATTATAGTTATACTATAATACACCCCCAAACCCTGTTCTAATTATTAAGGCCCCTTTTACAAAGAATAAGAGGTGACCATCTTCGTCGTCACCATCATTTTCATCGTCATCAGATGTCGCCAGGGTATCCCTAAACCCTAGACCCTAAACTCCCTAAACCCAAAACCCCAAACCCCATAAACCCAAAACCCCAAACCCCCAAAACCCAAACCCCGAAACCCGCAAAGTAACATCTGGAGTCCAAGTACTTCTCACAGTGGTAGGTGCTGCATGCCCTTCACAGGGTCCTAGGTACTGTTGTGAGGGATGCTTCGCTAAATCATCGTAGTAATTCCTAATATAGAAACCCTACATTCTACATCATTCTCCTTTTTCGGTACTTTGGAGCCTTCGGGATTTAGGGGGGATACTTCCTCTAAATCATAGTAGTAATGCCTAACATAGAAACCCTACATTCTACTTTATCGGTACTTTGGACCCTTTGAGATTCTCGGATGCGTCGATACAATAATATGGTCTTCCTTCACGACTCGTCGGAATTAGACTTCCTTACGGTTTAGGGGTTTAGGGGTTAGGGTTTTGGGGTTTAGAGGTTTAGGGCCCTTTCCTGTCTAATCGTCTAACCGCCGTGCCATGGCTATCCGCCTCCCGCACCCAGTGCGGGAAAGTCCCAAACCGGACACCCTTCCTGACCTCAAATTCTCCAAAACAACCGCGTTACTTAACGGATCATGGGACTTAGCAAGTAGGGGTATAACTAAGGTAACTATACTTGTAACCCCAATTAGGGGACTTATAACCTTACTTACTAAGTCCCATGATCCTCCAAGTACAGCGCTATCTACCTACCCTAAACCCTATGAGGATGAGACCCGACGAGACCTGGGCGCTAAATCCTACAATCAGAATGCCTGGCAACCACAGCTCTTCTCCCTTGCTACCTGGCGGACAAAGGCTCTAGAGCGCGTCGCAGATCCTAAACCCTAAACCCTAAACTAAACCCGAAACCCTAAACCCTAAACCCTAAACCCTAAACCCTAAACTAAACCCTAAACCCTAAACCCTAAACCCTAAATCGCAGATCCGCTCTCATCTTCGGACGTGTGCTGAGCATGCAGCGAAGGGCCGTTTCGTTTTGAGGCTCTAGACCTCCTTTGGGTTTAGGGTTTAGGGTTTAGGGTTTAGGGTTTAGGGTTTAGGGTTTAGGCTAATGTAGGGGCCTTAATAATCCAGAATAGGGTTTTGGGGGCTCCTTATCATCATTATAGTCTATAGTATACCCGCAAACCCTATTCTAACTATTTAGGCCCCTATAATTAGGGTCTATATAAGGAAGGTTTCGGGTCGTAGCGGCTTCAGGGGGTTCGGATTTAAAGCTGTAGGCACTCCCAAGTTCAGCTGCTGCGCCACTGAGCCAGCTCAAATGGAAGGCCAGCCTATCCTGAACACTGAATTTAGGGTTGTTTAGGGTTTAGGGTTGCTTAGGGTTTAGGGTTGCTTAGGGTTTAGGGTTTAGGGATATAAGGGCTAAACCCTAAAACCCTACACTTAATCTCACAGCAGTTCAAAGCGCATAACACAAGCCTGTTGGAAAAATTGAAGAACCGTCGCTCAAATTGATCTGCACAAGGCGCCATGCAAATGCAGCCAACCCGAAACCTTAACTAAACGCACAAACCCTCAACCCTCAACCCTCAACCCCTAAACCCTAAACTCCTAAACCCTAAACCCTAAAACCCTAAAGCCCTAAAGCCCTAACCCCTAAACCAAACTGCAGAAAAAGCCTTTCCGCCCCCTTTGCTGCCCTAAAGCCTAAAGCCTAAAGCCTAAACCCTAAACCCTAAACCCTAAACCCTAAACCCCTAAACCCTAAACCCTAAACCCTAAACCCTTTGCTGCTCACACGCGTTCGGAAACAACTTTGGTCTTTCCGTCGTCGCCTCGGCGGCTCAAGTCGCAGACCGTAGAATACAAGACCCTTAAGGGTTTAGGGGGTTTAAGGTTTAGGGTTTAGGGTTTAGGGTCTAGGGTTTAGGGGTTTAGGGTTTTAGGGTTTAGGGTTTAGGGTTTAGGGTTTAAGGGTACATGTGCCCAAATAGCGGATACTTTGGCGTTATAAAGTCGTCCCTGTTTGGGTACTCCGGGGCCAACTTATCTACTACTTGGGCACATGGACTCTTAGGGTTATGTAGAACGAAAGAGGGTTTAGGGTTGAGGGGCTGAGGGGCTGAGATACCCTAGCCCCAGAAAAGGCTAAACTTGTCAATGATGATAGAGTTGTATAAACCCGCCTCAAGGTTATAGGTTACCCAACTTAAACTGCCTTTAATTAAAAAAAGTTACAAACACCCTAAGCTCTAAACCCTAAACCCCAACACCCTAAAACACTAAAACCCTAAACCCTAAACCCTCAGCGTAAGAGGGGAAGGCGCAGCTTGTTGAATCCAGGGTTGAGAGTGTAACAAAGGGGCCTTAATACTTAGAACAGGGTTTTGGGGGGTTCCTTTCAGTGGTTTCTTACAGGGTTCTGTAAGGGCTACTATAAGGGTTTAGGTTGTAGGGGCCTTAATAATTAGACTAGGGTTTTGGGGGCCAATCATACTGTGATTATAACCAGGAACCCCCAAATAGTATAGGTAATTAGCAACCTAAACCCTAAACCCTAAACCCTGAACCCTAAAACCCTAAACCCTAAACCCTTAGAGTGCTGTGCTTCTTGATGGTTTCGCTTAGTATCGACACCAGGGCCTTTAGTTTAGGGTTTAGGGTTCAGAATTCTAGGGTTCAGGGTGTAAAGTTCAGGGTTTAGGGTTCCTGCACAGCAGGTACAGGTGCTTGGGTCGATAAATCCTGATGTGCAGAAACCCCCTTCGGAGATACACGAGATCGTACTCCAAGTAGGCTTTAGGGTTGAGGGTTCTAAACCCTAAACCCCTAAACTGTCTAGCAGGTACAATTATTTATAACCCTGAGCCTCAAACGCCGTCAGCCACATAGGACTCAGACGAGTCTCCTCCATCGCCATCCAGGCCAATCGTGGACAGCCGGTCGATGATTTGACGGAACTGCCTGTCGTGCCGAGGCTTCGTGTATAATCCCAGAGTAGTCGGGGCGTACTACCTTCGAATACTACATTGCTCCAACAACGCATCACCCAGATCCCGAAAGAAGTGAAGTCTGTAACGGAATTTTCTTGCTAAGTTCCACGACGTCTTGCAGAAGATCCCGCTGCGACTGCACAACCCTAAACCCTGCCTAAACCCGATCCAAACCCTGAACCATTGAACAAATGAAGCCCAAAAGCCTCTTAGACCCCAAACCCCTACCTCAACCACCGGAATTAGGTGAAATAATGGGCCCACACCCAGAAACTCCCGTTCTTCCACTTACATTCTTTTGGGGTCCAGGTTGGCCCAAAACCCTAAAATGTCCGATTCGTTGGAACATGGCACTTTCGGTGTTTTCTCGACCAGGTTCCAAGGAAGGAGTCGCCATATTTTTAACGAAGCCGGGCCCTTCCTTGAAATCTGGCGCATTCTTTTCGATGGATTCTAACGAAGACATCGCCATTTTCCTACGAAGGGCCCGGATTCGTTAGAATATGGCCCGACCTTCGTTGGAAAATGGCGCTTTTGGCGGCGGGCGGGCAAGGCCATTTTCCAACGAAGGGCCCGGATTCGTTGGAATATGGCAATTTCGAAATCGCCACGAATTCCAACGAATGCCCGGGCGGGCAATTGCGATTTGCAGGGCTGTAATATGGTTTGAGTAAGCTTTATTCTGGCGCTGTATCATGGGGTTTAAGAGCTATTCTGGGCTCTGGGCGTACATCATACGGCTTCTGGGGATGTATCAGATGGTTTAAGGGCTGCTGTGTTATAGGGTTTCAAGGCTTTTGTGGGGCTGTACCATCGGGATTGAAGGCTAGGCTTAGGGTTTAGAATCAAAGCCCTGAAATTACGTAATACGTAGATCTTATTGTTTAAGATCTAAGCTCTGGTTGTTATGTAAGAAAGCCCGAAGGCGTACGTTTGTTGTTTCTCATAGTGAAAGTGAAAGCTCGACAGGAGATTGCTCGATCCGGAGCTGCTGAACCCTAAACCCTAAACCCAAAGCCCTACACAGTCTAGGCTAAACCCTGAGCCCTAAACCCTGAACCCTAGACCCTGTACCCTAAACCCTAAACTCTAAACTCCAAACCCTTAGCCCCAGACCCTATGCAAAAACAATCCCTAAACCCTAAAACCCTAAAACCCTAAACCCTAAACCCTAAACCCAAAAACCCAAAAGCCTTATAAACCCTAAACCCTCTAGAGGCCTCTTACCAACTACTAACTAACCCAGAGGGTCCATATACACTACCATTATGGAATTAGGCCCCAAAAGACCATCCCTATTATGGTTTTGGGGACCTAACTCCATAATAGTAGTGTATATGGACCCTCTGGGTAACAGTAGCCCGAGCGACTCTTGGAGACGTTCCGCTTCGCTCATCCTTTCCTGGAAGCTCTCGCATAACTTCCTTGGCTCTAAGGTTGAAGGGTTTAGGGTTTAGGGTTTAGGGTTTAGGGTTTAGGGTTTAGGAGGTGTGGGTTTCGGGTTTAGGGTTTCGGGTTTAGGAGGTGTGCGATAGTTCCTGGCCTTGGTTTTGGATCCCTTGCTCCAAGGTTGAACCCATGGGCCCCTAGTATGGGCCCTTAAGCCTGGGATCCTGATATACCTACTATATACCCTATGTGTATCGTAAAGGGCCCCTAGAAAGGCCTATGGGTCCATATTAGGGGCCCATACTTCTAACCGTAGATTGGTAAGAGGCTTGTAGGGCTTAGGATCCCCCTGTCTAGACTTTGAGGTAACAAGGGAGAAAAAAGTATAGACTTTAATTTCATAATGGTTTCCTCAGGGGACAGGTCCCAACAAAAAAGTGTTCAAGTATGGTACTCCAGTTGTAGGGTTTAGGACCCCCTTTTCGGGTTTAGGGTTTAGGGTTGAGGGTTTAAGATGGTCTAATGTTAGTTAGTAATTGGCAAGAGGTTTGTAGAGGGTTCAGGGTTTATGAGGCTTTTGGATTTAAGGGTTTAGGGTTTGCGGTTTACGGTTTCATATTCTCCTTGGCAAGAGGCCTACAGGGTTTAGGACCGTTTAGGGTTTGGGCTGCAGGGTTTAGGGTTTATGACGGTTTTAAGGTTTAGGACCTTGGGTTCCAGGTTTAGGGTGTAGGGTTTTGGGGTGTGGGCTCTCATAACTTCCTTGGCAAGAGGCGTATAGGGTTTAGGATGGTCTGTTGTAGGGGCCTCAATATTTAGAACAGGGTTTGTGGGGTAGGTTACACTATCATTATGATTCATGGCTTAGGGTTTAGGAGTCTGAGGGGTTTAGGGTTTAGGGTTTGGGGGTTTAGGGTTTAGGATGGTCGATCCGAGTCCAGGGCTTTGGGTGTTTGAGGCGTGGGCTTGAGGCTTTCGTTGGGGTGGTTGTTTATGGTTTGGGGTTTACGGTTTGGGGTCTTGCGTTTGTGGGGTTTCGGGCTTAAGGGTTTAACTCTAAACCCTAAATCCTAAACCGTAGCCTATACCCTAAACCCTGTTCGACTCTATAGGCGAGTGCGCTTAGGGCTTACGGCTTTAGGGCTTCGGGGCCTTTAGGGTTTCAGGACGTTAGGGTGTTTTAGGGCGTATGATTTAGGGATTTCGGTTTTCTGGTGCTCTTGCTGCGGGATCAGGTTTGATGGCCTGGCTCATCTTACTTCCACGATTCTCGCAAGAGAGCTTTGTTAGGCCACATAAGGCAGCTTCACGAATAGCAATTCTGAGATGATAGGTACGACTACCACTCATACTGCTGTTGCTGTGACGGCTCGTGGCTAGTAGCGGCTAGTAACATGGGACCACCACCGTCAACAACCACACTGGTAGTAGCAGCAGCAGCAGCAGCAACAGCAGCAGCTTCAGCAGCAGCAGCAGCAGCAGCCGCGGCAGCAGCAGCAGCACCACCACCACCCAGACCAGCGCCCCTCTGCCACTACCAAGACCACCAATATCACCAATACCACCAATACCACCACCCACCACCACCACCACAACAACAACAACAACAACCACCCCCACAACTGCAACCACATCCAAAAGAAGCAGCAATAGCAGCAGCGGGCCATGATGGTTGCCGTCAACAATGTCAAGGCATCCCCACATGGGTACGTTTTTGTACTATAACTATATACGTGCACATGTCTGTATGCATACATATATACATGCATGCATGCATGCTGGAATGTACATCATCATCGTCGCCAACATCAACATCAACATCATCATCCCCATAGAAACATATCTGGTGGTCCTCCACAATTAATTTAACAGCTATTAGTCGTGGCTTCCGTCGTCAGAAATACTGCCGGTGATATCTCGACAGTGTGATCAGATACCTACAGGTTCAAATTGGTCTTTGCTTATAAGTAATTACACCAATACATCGTCATTCTTGCAGGACGATCAGCGCGACTCTACGCTTCCTTGATGGTCATAACCGAACTTGCCACGGTCTGCGAAGGGAGAAGTCCTGAACGTAAAACTGCCAAGACCTGAACTCGCTCCCTCTGCTTCACCACTCCAAGCAAAACTAACCATCTCATCTCAAATGCTGAGCCCCGAGGTTCAGACCCTTAAGCCGTGAAGGCAAGGATCTGCCGATCCTTCTCCATGCGGAGTTGCTCTGGAGACATCGTCGCGCGGGCATTCGGGTTATCCGACTCCTGAGCTTCGAGTTCATGGCAGCTGTACCACCAGCAGTAGCACACTTATCACCACCACTACTATTACCTGGACCTCCGTTCGTAACGGAAAACAATGCTCAAAGGGGTTTTGTAGCACTAATGGGGTTTTAGAGGTTTTGGGGGATTTGTTTGAGCAGTTCTTTGTTTATTTGAGCGCTTTCGCTCTCTCCTCGCGCGCTTTTGTGCTTGGCAGCCTCTGGGGCTCTGCAGCATCGACCCACATGCATGTTTCACCTTCATGTCTTCGCCCTGGCGGTGCGCCCCCCCCTCCGATTAACGAGCTGTGTGTGTTTGTGTGTGTGTGTGTTTGTGTATGCATTTGTCCACGATCGTCGTAGATCCCGTGAAAGTCCACATCCTTAGATCGGCAGGTACGTCTGGGCGCTTCATGGTGCTTCGATGATTGGTATCTCCGCCCGATGATTGGTATCTCCGCCATCTGTTACCTGCGATTATGATTCAACTTGGCGGTCCGTTTGTGCATGCAATCGACCCAGACTGTGTGCAAGTGCTGGTTCAGATGGACATATACCACGCATGCTAGGTCACGAGCATGCATATGATCATACGGGGCTATTTGTGCATGTTTCAACGACTTGTGTCTGCGACTGCTGTAGCTAGCTGTTGCATTTTGCAACCATGGAGTCGGGCAGCCCTTCAGCATGCCCTGTGTTGCAAGCATGGGGGCAGAGCGAGTTTGTCCTCAAGCGCTTGCTGGAAAAAAACCTCTTGATCATGAATGGAGCGCGGCTGTCGAGGGGTACGGTCATTGCAAATCAAGAACTTCTGATTCCACTGATAAACCTGGTCGGTTCTCCGGTAGCATTATGGATGTGTGCTGTGTGTGCGTGCACTGAGTCATACTGGTAGGGTCGGTGCTAGTATTAATTGCAGACAAGGCCTTCGCCCATCAGTCGACCTGGTGGCCACGTATCTTCGAAGGCTTTATGCCGGTTATCGTCCCATGCACAAGCCAATTCCTGATGGTACTTTGCCTACATTATTATTATACAGTACGTGTGAGGTATATGGGTTATGTCAATAGCTAGCTAGATCGTCTTGCCGGATCTAAGGAGTGACCATCAAAACCCAGGCCTGGATTGTGAGAAGGCTTATCTCAGTGTACTCGCGAATCGCGAAGAGACCACATTGCCCGAGACAGCGCGACTTCCGAGCCTTCATGACTAGAGTAGGCATGAATCCGGGACCCTTGTCTGATAGTGGAGTTTTTCTGCCGTGTGTACACTATACCTAGCTTGCAGTTATGTGTGCATACATGCATGATGAGCTTAGGATCGCCTCGATCGTCAAGCAGTGCGTCTTCAGATTCAGATGAATCACTTTCTTCTGATTCTGATTCGCATGATGCTGCGGCTGGGGCTGGGGCTGCTTAGCTCTAGATCATGCAGTAATTTCTGACAGCTTACAAGATCACCCCAGTCAGAGCCCCGAAGTCGATTTCATAATAAATGCATTCGGTGAGTCAAGGAGGAGGCAGCTGTTGCTGCCGACGTCGATGGAGAGCCGCTCAACGCTGAGGACTTGCGAGCCATCGAAGCATCCTCGGAAGCACCCATGCCACCCATCCCAGATCGCTCAACCGAGCCTGCCGATACTGCCAGACCCAAGCCTTCAAAGCGCACCGCTCATGCAAACCCGGCACCTCTGCCTCCAAACAAAGTGCCTGCTTTGTCCATGCCCCGAAAGATAACAACCCCAAGTCCTCGCCACAAGACGTTCTCCCCTGCTCGTGCCTGCCACTTACCTGCATCTAATCTATCTTCGGAGTCTAACACAAACCCTTCAGTTGTATTGCATCAATCTCAGTCATGCATAATGTAAATAATTATAGTTCTAAATCGTAGGGCAAGAAACCCTAAAATCCCCAAAATACAGACGATCCTGTTGAATCCTTATGCAGAAGTTCGCTCTAACTAGAACCCTATATGCCTATATCCTATGATCATCAATTTTATTAACCCAGCCTTAATCCTAAATCCTCTACCCGATATATGTATCTCAAATTCTGTTTGCCCAGGCTCCACCACGTCGAAAGCTTCGTCTTCGTGGATGACCCCGACCGAGATCCTGAGCCCGCCATCAAGCGGTGTCTTGCTGGCACATGTACATAGGGTGTGTATTGATGAGCATTATCTGCATCGTATATGTGTGCTCGATCTAGATATATATATATATATACATGCATGGGTACGATGTGTATGCACATTGGCATGCATGCATGCATGCAACCAATCAATGTGCAATGATACGAACTCGCGTTCGTATGCATTCATACGTCCATGCATGGATGTATATGTACGTAGGCAGGTGAGTAAGTAGACATATATATATATATACTATACTATATATGCCACACACACTCACACACACATATATATATATATATGTATATGCTATATACATCTATGCATGAATATATGTTCGTGCATGCTGAACATATGGACATAGATGTGTAATATGCCATAAAACCTTTGATGTGCATCTTGTGCAAAATGAATGCATGTATGGTTTGAGGGAGGGAGAGTCATCATTCTTGTGTGTGTGTGTTGGTTTTTGTGTAGTTGCGTGCTATCTACCTGCTATGTGTATGGTATGTGTCTATATGTTAGCTTGTAGTTTTATCACATGCTCTATTTCACCTACTCTCTCTATCCTTCTTCCTTTTCTCTATAACTTCCATCGTTCTCTCCCTCCCCCCTCATATAATATATATATATATATATATATGTATCCTTTCTCTCTCCCTCTCCCCCTTCTCTCCCTCACCCCTTTCCTGTTTGCTTGTGGGGGGTTTGGGGTCTCTATCCCTCTCTCGGTCTATGTGGCACTCTTGTCTTTTTAGATCATTTCGTGGATACCTCTACATATATGGGTCTTTCTCAGTGTCTTTGCATCTGCAATGTCATCGGCTATGTTGTTTCGTACCAGTGCATTCCCATGGAAGGTGAAGTGTCTCCGATGTCGCAATGCAGAGCCAGGGGTCTTCATTATATGGTGAAGGACAGGATGCATGGATTTGCTTGCCTTCTTTGTGGCCTGACTGGGCCATTGGCTGAACTCAAAGCCTCACCTTGTGGGTTCTCTGGATCCACACCCAGTCCTGTGCCCTCATGTCCTCCAAGCAGTGCTGCGAAAGGTTCAAGGTCAAGTCCTTCTGAGGACCTTGACCACCAGGCTTTCCTTGATGCCCAGCGTGCATCGCAGGAAGAACGGGATGCAGAGATGGCACGTGAATTGCAGGAACTCGAGCGCATGGAACATGAGCTTTCCCAGCAGACTCTGCTGCAGCAGTTAGAGGTTGAAGAGCTAGAGCTGCAAGGTCTGCTGAATCAGCTTCGCGCCGAAGAGTTGAAGGCAAAGTGCTTGGAAGACCCCAGCATCCTCAAAAAGTTGCAGCATTGCCCCAACACGCCACCCACGACAGCATCATCGGCTGGAGGAAGCCCAACTGCTCTCCCCCCTTTGGATTTGCCCTACGGTAGCCCGGCATAAGTTTATCATGTGAGTGGACATATTGAATGTGCTCCTGGAATGCATAATCATGTGCTTTACTCCATGAGGTACCGACAACATGGACACATTGGTGGACCCGCCAGAGCCTTCCGATACCTTTGTGGAGATTTCGGTGCCAGTGACACATTGCAAGCAATCCGAGCAGACCGAGAACATGGAACAGGCCAAGCAATCCGAACAGGCGGAGAACACGGAACAGGCCAAGCAATCCGAGCAAACCAAGAACACTGAACAGGCCAAGCAATCCAAGCAGACGGAGAACACGGAACAGGCCAAGCAATGCAAGCAGACGGAGATCACGGAACAGGCCAAGCAATCCGAGCAGACGGAGAACACGGAACAGCCCAAGTCGTTGCAAAATGCTGTTGCTGAGACGTCCAAGCCGAAGGAGGCTGGGACTTTGAGTCACCTGTCATAGGTTCTTGCCTTTTCACCCAACAGTTGCATATCACACTCATGATCATGAGGAGCAGGACACATCTGGCGATGGGCCACCAGATGCAGCCTGATTAACATTCGTGTGTGTGTGTATGAGTGCATGACATATATATGTTCATATCGTACGGATCATGTGCTATCTAAGGTATTGCCGCCTTGTCCGGTTGCATTGGAGCCAGCTGTGTCACCAGCAGAGCAGATGAAGCTTACGGGGGCGCAGAGGGCCAAGCGGGGTAAGGGAAAGAAGCCCAATCTTGAGGAAGAGGAGGATGAAGATGAGTCCGAGGAGAAGGGTAACAGTGATGCCGACAGTTCGGGGGGGAGTGGAACCCGAGCAAAAGCCGCTGAAGCAAAGGCCCGGGCAGAGAAAGCTGGGCGGGGAAGAGGTAGAGGCAGGGGACGTGGGCGCGGCAGGGGACGAGGGGCAGAAGAGCCGTGCACAAGTCCTCGTGCAGTCTCTTCCAAGCGCAAGGACACCGCTGATGAGCCCAAGCCTGGCAGGAGCAAGTCGGCCAAGAAGGGTGGAAGTGGGGAGGCCCAGGAGCCGGTGCCCACAACACCCAAGCCCAAAGCAAAGAGCAAAGCCAAGGCAAAAGCCAAGTCCAAGCCGGCAAGCGCTAGCAAGAATGACCAGGTCGTTCCGAGCAAGCCCGACAAGCCTTCCAAGACCAACGGTGTTGCGCCCCCCAAGGGCAAGCCTTCCAAGAACGAGGGTGTTGAGTCCGCCAAGGGCAAGCCTTCCAAGAACCAGGGTGTTGAGTCCGCCAAGGGCAAGCCTTCCAAGAACGAGGGCGAAGGGGACCCGGCAGAAGTAGAGCGCAAGGCCCGACTCTCGCGCAAATCCGTCGCGTATCACAAGGCCAAGGTTGAAGCGCAGAAGAAGGGTTTGGACGCGGCTGGGATTAAGGCGGCGGCGCAGAAAGCACCATGTCTGGAATCAGTCGTGTTCTGTACTCTCTCTCTCTCTCTCTCTCTGTCTCTCTCTGACTCTCTGACTCTCTG